CGGTGGCCAGCCCCTCCCCCGCAACCCCCCTCCCCCCACCCCTGATGGGGGGGGGGCGGGAGGAGCGTGCACGTGGACGGGGCTGCTCCCCTGGGGGCCCCGGAAGAGCTGGCTCCAGGGCTCTGCCCACCCCTCGGCTGCAGGCTGTCTCCTTCCTGCCTCCCCTGGCACACGGGACCCCTCGGTGCTGCCCTTCTGCGCAGGGTGCCCGCCTTTGTGGACGGAGCCCGGGGCCCGTCTGGAAGGGCTGCGTGGGCAGAGGCGGGAGGCGCCCGGCCTGCAGGGACGCTCCGCCCTGGGTGGGCTGCCGGGCGGGGCCGCGCCGGCCCCTGATAACAGCCGCTTCTGCTTTCTGCTTCTGGGGGGGGGGGCTGCAGCGGGCTGTGGTCGGAGCTGGGCTGAGGGCCGGCAGGGTGGGCCTCGCCATGGCGGGCGCACACAGGCGGGCAGGAAGTGGCCCTGTGCAAAAGCGGGAAGTGGCTGTTGTCAAACAGGAAGGGGGGGCTGGGCCGTGGGGCGGGGGGCGGGGACGAGCCCGGTGGAAAGGTGGGCGGGAAGGTCAGCCCGGGAAGGTCCAGGCCGTCCCCTAGGAGCGGCGAGGTCAGGGGTCACGGGAAGGCGGTGTGTCTGGAGGAAAGAGGCTGCTTTTGCGACAGGAGCAGCCGGTGGGTGGCCACCGTGGGCAGCTGAGCCGGAGCCGGGACCTCCCGCCGGGGACCAGGGCGGTGCAGGGCCCGGTCCCTCTGGAGGTCGGGGATGCTGTGCTCGGCCTGGACGGCCTTTGGCGTCGGGAAAGATGCTCTCCCTGCCACACTGGTTCCTGAATCCTGCTGCTGCCGGGCGGAGCCCCGCTTTTCCCCAGACGAGGACCCGCCCTGGAGGGGGTTGCAGGACAGAGCGCGTGTGGAGCGGGAGAGGCCGGGGTGCTGGTGGAGTGCGTGGTGGGAGGAGGCGGGGAGAGTGTGGTCGGCAGAAACTGCGGCTCATTGAGCAGCGCTGGATGGATGGCAGGGCGCCCGGCGGCCGGGCTGGAGCTGCGGGAGAGGAGGGCCCCGCGCTCTGAGGGCCCTGATGCTGGCCCTCACCTGCAGACGGTGGACCGAGGGGGGGGGAGCGCCCCTCCCCCGGGACGGCTGCTGGAGCCGGCAGAGGGCTCCGTGGTGTGCGGGGTGCCCGGGGCCTGTCCGGCTCAGGCAGAGGAACTCTCCCGGTGCCCCTGGTACCAGCCCCGGCCACAGCGCCTGCCCGAGAGGCCCCCCTGTCCTGTCACCGGGCCCCGGGGAAAGCTGCTCTGTGTGTGTGCCCAGCGCCGTGCTGAGCACTCGCTCAGTCACCTCGTTTAACTCACCTGTTTCATTTTACTTTTTATTTTTGTAATATATTCTTATTGATTTCAGAAAGGAAGGGAGAGGGAGAGAGAGAGATAGAAACATCCATGATGAGAGAGAATCATCCTACACACCCTCCGCTGGGGATCGAGCCTGCAACCTGGGCATGTGCCCTGACCAGGAATCCAACCGTGACCTGGTTCATAGGTCGATGTTCAACCACTGAGCCACACCGGCCGGGCATCACCTCCATTTTATTATTATGATTATTTTTGTTGTTATTGTTTTTAGTCCTCACCTGAGGATATTTTCCCATTGATTTTTTTTTTTTTTTTTTTTTTTTAGAGAGTGGAAGGGAGGGGGAGAGACGCACAGAGAGAAATACCGACGTGAGAGAGACACATCGATTGGTTGCCTCTAGGGCCGGGATGGAGCCTGCAACCAAGGTGTGTGCCCTTGACCAGAATCAAACCCTTCACTCCGCAGGCAGATGCTCTCTCCACTGAGCCACACCGGCCAGGGCCGTCACCTCCATGTTAGAAGTGAGACCACGCTTCCCAAACGAGCGTGCCTGGCTCGCCGACTCACCTCCTTCTGTCCTAGTCAGACACCGCCTCCCTGCTGAGGCTTTCCCGACCCCCTCGGACCCAGCCCCACTAGAGTATCAGCTCCGTGACAGAGGGCAGAGATTTTTTTTTTTTGTCTGTTTTGTTCACGGCTGTAACCCCAGCATGGAGAACGGGTCCTGTCCCAGAGCAGGCCGCAGTGCATATTTTTTTGAATGAATGAATGAATGAATGAATGAATGAAGAACGGGGCTCAGGTGGGTTTAAGAACGCGCCTGACGTGGCACCGCCGGGACTCGATCTGGGGCTGCTGGGCTCCAGACCTGATGTGCGAATGGCGGGATTCCCTGGCCAAGGATCCGAGCAGCAAGACCGAGGCTCAGCCCGGGGCCGAGAGGACACAGGCTTCCCCCGGGACGGGGCCCGGCTCCTCGGCGTGGGGGTCCGGCTAAGGGGCTGTGCGGAGGGGCCCCCCGGGCCCCGGGCAGCGCCTTCGAGGAGCGGGGAGCCTGGTCTGCCTTCCTGCGCGGCCCCACTCTTATTTTTAGTGCCGCTGCCGTGGTGGGACTGTAACCATTAGCCGGCGAGAGACTTAAGGGAGGAGATAAACGTTAATCTTCCGGGCCTCCCCTCGGCTGCCACCTCGGCAGAGTGAGATGCTGTCTGCACCTGCCCCGCAGCCAAGCCCGGGGCCGGGGGTGGAGGGCCGTCAGGTGGGTGGTCAGAGAGAGCTGGTAGGTCTGCAGCTTTGGGGTTGGCTGGCCGGCCGGCCGGCCGGCCGACTGGCGTGGGACCTCCCGCCCCAGGTGCGGGCGCAGGAGGAGGGCAGGCTCGCGATCCGGAGAAGCCAGCCCCCTCTGCCGACCTCACCTTCCGAGAGTCCCCAGGACGGAGGGCCCCGGGCGATGGGGGAGCGAGGGTGACCTGGGGCTCTCCTGGCCACGGCCTGGTCCGTGTCCGGACAGCGCCAAGGCCGGGAAGGAAGGCCTGACCCAGATCCCTGGGCAGCTGGATGGATTAGCTGGGCAGCAGGAACTAATCTCTGCCCGTCCCTGCCTCCTCCTTCCACAAAGCAGGGCCGTCGTGACGGGGAACATTTCGCACAAAGCCGGGGATGGCTGGTGAGACAATAAATATGAATTCCTTCCAGCCTGCAATCCCCGCCTCGTCTCAGAATGCATGGTCTCGGGGGCGGGAGGGCCGCGGGCAGGTGACTTACCTGCTCTGGGCCTCGGTGTCGGTGCGGGCACCTCACCAGGGGGAGGGTGTGGGAGTCCCGGGGGGCCTCACAGAGGCTCTTGCTGTTTAGGAGAGGCGGGTGGGCAGATCCCCCGGCAAGGGAGGCAGCGGTGGCTTGACAGGTGTGACGGGGCAGCATCTGCCTGGGCCGGAGATGGTGGGGTGACCTGGACTGTGCTCCCCAAAGCCTGGAGCTGTTACACTGGATGCTCTCACCTCTCTTTACCCTGTCGGCATAGCATAGCGACGGAGAAAGGGGGCTCAGGCCCTCCGCCCGTGTGACCTTGGGCCGGTACTTTAACTGTCTAAGCTTCGGTTTCCTCGTTTGTAGTGCAATGGGGCTAATCAGATCCCCTACCACCCAGGATTTTTGTAAGGCTAAGATAAAACAATCCATGCCTCTGCCTGGCATATAGTAGATGCTTAGTAAGTCATAGTTATTACAGTTGTAGTGGACGTTATTGATAAAACACTTACTAAGCCCCTTGTTACGATAGGAACTCAAGAAAGCGCCCCTCAGAAAGGTCCTACCCCGTGCCCTAGCTGGATAGCTCAGTTGGTTAGAGTGTCATCCTGATACACCAAGGTTGTGGGTTCGATCCCCAGTCAGGGTACAGACAAGAAGCAACCAATGAATGCATAGATAAGCAGAACAACAGGCAAATGTTTCTCTTTTCTCGATCTCTCTCTAAAACCAATCAATCAATCAATCAATCAATCAAAAGAGCGTGGCTGGTGTGCTCAGTGGATTGAGTGTCAGTCCGTGGACCAAGAGGTCCTGGGTTTGATTCCTGATCAGGACACATGCCCGGGTTGCAGGCTTGATCCCCAATAGGGGGTGTGCAGGAGGCAGCTGATTGATTTATCTCTCCCTCTCCTTTCCTCTCTGAAATCAATAAAAATACATATTTTTAAAAGGTGTATCTGCCAGCTCCGGCCAGTGTGGCTCAGTTGGCTGGAGCATCGTTCCATGCATGGAAAGGGTGCGGGTTTGATTCCTGGTCAGGGCTCATGCCTGAGTTGTAAATTCGACCCCCAGGTGGGGCACGTGCGGGAGGCCATCAATTAATGTTTCTCTCTCTCTCCCCTCCCCCCCTTCTTCCCCTCTCCCTGTAAAAAAGTCAATAAAAACATATCCTTGGGTGAAGATTAAAAATAAAAAAGATGTATCTGCCTGGTGTAGAAGTAAGCGCAGGATAAATGTTGCCTCTTATTTTTTCAAATCACATCACCTTCGCTGCCAGCACCATTATGTTTTAGGGTGAAGACGAACGTAGAAGCTATATGCAACCCCTAGCACAGTGCCTGCTCACAGAGGAGGTGCTCAATAAAACTTAGCTATTCGTAGTATTTCTAACAAGAAAGAGGTTTTGGCCTTAACCGGTTTGGCTCAGTGGATAGAGCGTCGGCTTGGGGACTGAAGGGTCCTGGGTTCGATTCCGGTCAAGGGCATGTAGCTCGGTTGTGGGCACATCCCCGGTGGGGGGTGTGCAGGAGGCAGCTGATGGATGATTCTCTCTCATCGATGTTTCTAACTCTATCCCTCTCCCTTCCTCTCTGTGAAAAATCAGTAAAATATACGTATAAAGAAAGAGGTGTTGGACAGCCTGGCCCAGGGAGAGCCCTGCAGTAGGGGAAGAGGACCAGGGCTCCGTGGAAGACCTGGATTCAGATCCCTCCCTAAGCCATTTCCTCGCCTGGAGAAGGGGTCGGTCACAGTGCCTGTCCCAGGATTGCTGTGACTTGCTGCGTTGATTCAGCAAATTGTCCGAGTGCACCAGTTCGGGGCCTCAGAACCGAACGAGTGCGAATGGCCGCAAATAGAAAGTGTGGTTGATGGCTTTTGGTTTTTCTCCTCTGCTTTTAGATCACCAGAAGCTAGAACGCGAGGCCCGGATATGCCGACTTCTGAAACATCCAAACATCGGTAAGTGCACGTCTGTGCGAGTGCTGTATTCTGGGGCGTTCTGTAGCGGGGGCTGGAGAGCAGAGGCTCGCTGCTGCTGTTTTGTGTGTGGAACTACCTCCGCCCCTGGGCCTTCGCCTGCTGCCTTGTCTTTCCCACACGGGGAAGCAGCCGTGTCTGTCTCAGGGCTCGGGGACATTCTGGTGTTGAGACCTGGGTGTCTTCGTGCCTGCGGTGCCATCTCAGGGCTGGGGAGTGCGGGATCGGAGCAGGTCACCCACTCCATTTCTCCCCTCCTCCTCTTCCTCCTCCTCCTCCTGCCTTTGGGCTGAGGCCCCGGCTGCTCAGGGTGTGAGGCTCTGGGCTGGTGTCCCTCACCGGGGCCCTCCGCGGTCCCGATTTTGCTTCTGGACTCTTCTGAAAGAGTTTTGTCCCCTGTGCAGTGCCGTGCACACTCTGGGGGTTTCCATGGTGCCCTGTTTGTGTTCCCCGGAGCCGGGGAAGCAGGCTGCCCGCCCGCCTGGCTTGCCTGGAGGAAAGGGTGGCAGGAGCCACGTGGACGGGGGAAGGAGAGGAACGAGGAGGCATTCTCCCTGCTCCCACCCCGACGCGGGGGACAAGAGCACATTGTTGGCTGTTCTGGAAGCCTGCGGAGGTTTGCCTGCCGCGGCCCACTCCGCTCGGTTCCGCATTGTTCGGCTGAAACGGTCTCTGCCAAGCGCGCTGGCCCCGATGTGGCGCTCCTCAGGGGGGACAGAGCCGGGCTGGCTGCGGCGTCGGAGCAGGGGCCCGGGCTCGGCGCGAGGCGGCGCAGGGCGCATCTCCTAGCTTCTCCCTGAGTCATCACACCGAAAACACGTGTCCCGCGCTCCGCAGGCACAGCCTAAATATCGGGGCTCCCACAGCGCCCGGAGGCCACCCGCTCTGCGCGGCCGGGGCCGGGCGTGGGCGGCCTGCCCGAGCCTGCCGCTGCCTCCGCCCCCCACACACACACCCCGCTCCCCAGGCCCGGGGTCAGCGCGCTTCACGCGGGCGGGCGGTGGCGGGAGAGCCGAGGCCCTGCTCCAGCCGAGGGGAGAGGTAACCGGAACCGGCCCTGCAGGGCTTTATAGATCACAATCAGCAGCTAGGGTTACCCCGGAGCAGATTGGCACAGCCAGGCCTCCCTCTGCCCGGCGCAGGGCGCCCCGGAGCCAGCACCTCTCGGCCGGCCGGCCCGGCTCCGGGCGACCTCAGAGCTGGGCTCGCACCTGGAGACGGCACGGGGGCCCGGCGGCCGGGCACCCGAGAGACACACCCAGGACAGCAGGCACAGGGCCAGGCGTGTGTTGTTTTGGTTGGCTCAGTGGTCTAAAAAAAAAACAAACATATATATATATATATATATATATATATATATATACACACACACACACACACATATATATTTTTTTTTTAAAGAATTTTTGTGAGTTTATTTGAGTCAAACTGTTGACATATGCCGGGAAGCAGAACCTCAATGGATTGAGATAATGCTCTGGAGAATGGAGGGTGGTTACATTTGTATTTATACATTGCAATCAAAGAAGGGACATAGATGGGTTACATGAAATTCATTGGTGATGGAGTAAAGAGGCGGGAGAAAGCAAAGCAGTGGGAAACCCCTGGGATCGGATATTGAATAGAAAGTAAAAGGATGGCCTCATACTTAGGTGAGTGCAGGAACAATTAACATGATAGCGAAGGAATTTGAGGCATCTGTCTTGGCGTCCACCACATTTGGTTGTGCCCCAGGGGCTTAAAAATATATATATTTTTATTATTATTTGCCAGTCGGTATTAAAAAATGAGATTTTGCATTTTGAAAGGACTCCGTTTCCTAGTCTTTCGAATCAGGAGGCTGGGTTCTGCTGAGCCCTTGTCTGTGTGTGCTCAGAGTCAGCCGGGCGTTGTGAGTTTGTGACTTCTGCCCTGGACTCTCTAGAACAGGAAGAAAAAGCCAGCGGGTAACGAAAGCCAGGCACGAGCACAGAAGCACGCGGTGTTCTCACTCGGGGCCTCGGGGTCTGTGGCAGCAGCTTCCTCTCCTGATGCTCCCGGGGACCAGTCCGTAGAACGGCGACAAGCTGCCCCCGGGAGGAAGGAGAAGCAGGGGAGGGGAGGGGAGGGGAGGCAGGAGGCAGAGCCAGGTCTGCGGCACTCGCCGCGCGGGCGTGGCTGGCCACGTGGTGGGGCAGGGCGAAGGCGCAGGGAGGAATCTCACCCAGCCGGTGTGGCTCCAGGCTGGAGCATCGCCCTGTGAACCTGGAGGTCATAGTTCGATCCCCGGGCAGGGCTCAGGCCCTGGTTGCAGGCTCAGTCCCCAGGGTGGGGCATGCAGGAAGCTACGGATCCGTGATTCATTGATGTTTCTCTCTCTCTCTCTCGCTCCCTCTCCCTTCCTCCCTGAAATAAATTTTAAAAAGTGGGATTCTAGCCGAAACCGGTTTGGCTCAGTGGATAGAGCGTCGGCCTGCGGACCGAAGGGTCCCAGGTTCGATTCCAGTCAAGGGCATGTACCTTGGTTGCGGGCACACCCACGGTGGGGGATGTGCAGGAGGCAGCTGGTCAATGTATCTCTCCTTGATGTTTCTAGCCCTCTATCCCTTCCTCTCTGTGAAGAATCAATAAAATAAAATGTATTTTTTTTTTAAAAAAGTTTAATCCTTAAAACAATTGTATGAAGAATCTACTTTTTTTTTAAAATGGGATTCTAGTTGGAAAAAAACTTCTAACCTTTAAAAAAAAAAAATGCATTCCTAGAAATTAGATGTATACTTTTTGACCTTTTCGACTGTTCTCGGGGTGATAGCCCGCGCTTTGTACCACCTGCCCCCACGTCAGCATTAAGGCAGTTGGAGAGACCGTCCATCTGGCCATCTGCTCTGTGGGGAAGCAGCGGGACCCAGGACAGGCCGGGCAGGCCACACTCACTGGGTTAGCATCTGATGGCCTGGAACTTGCATTTCATCTGATGGCCTAGTGCTTGCATTTCTCGCCTGCTCCCAGGTCCTGCGGGATGCTGGCCCGAGGCTCTCTGCTGGGGTCAAGGGCAGGGGGGAGTCAGGGTGAGCCAGGACCGTGTCCTGGGAGAGCTGGCTGGCCAGGCCGCCCGGCTTCCGGTGGGAACCAGGCCTCCTGGCGATGCGGCAGGCTGAGCGGTGGGGCCAGGGGGCCGGGGTTGCCATGGGTTCTGACCTGGCTTGTGGCAGGGGAGGAGGCAGTGTTGTCCCGCCTCATTCACGATTCCCCTCGTCTCTCCGCCGCTCCATCCTGCAGCGCGCTGGCCCCTTTGGCTCCGGCCGCGCGGCCTGCCGAGGGGCGGGCAGGACTGAGGACGCTGAGAGCACAGAGCTCAGGGTCAGGCTCAGAAGGGGACCTGGTGCAGGGAGCGAGGGCTCCCCAGCTTCGTCTGTTCTGTCCCGGAGTGTTAAGCGTCCTGGAAGAGGGAGCCCTCCTGTAGGCTGCGGACTCCGGGCGATGACGGCGATGTCATTGTCGGCTCCTCGGCTATCACGGCTGTGCCCCTCTGGAAGGGGGAGCTGGAGAGTGGGGGAGGCTGTGCATCTGGGGGGACAGAGGGTATGTGGGAGCCCCGTGTACGGTCTGCTCAGTTTTGCTGAGAACCCACATCGCTCTGGAAAACACTCCGCTAATGGGTGGTTTTAAAAAAAAAAAAAGCCTATTGGTGATGCGCTGTCCTGCAGAGCCAAGCCAGCCCAGGAGAGCGGCCGGGGGGAGCGGAGTGGAGAGGAGGAGGAGACGGCGGGAGTGCGGACCGTCCAGGTTGAGTGGCTGGTGTCCCGCCTGTGATCTGCCCGCTCCCTGCTCTAGATCCCTCTGATGAATAGACTCCGTCCTGCTCCTCCGTGCTGAGCGCCCAGCGGCTTCCCTCCCAGCCCGCCCTGTGGTTTAGGGCAGCCCTGCTCTCACTGCTTCCTTCACGCTCACTCGCAGGTCTCCTAGGGATCGTGGTAAAATTCAGCGGATCTCCCAGGGATCGTGTTAAAATTCCGACCGGGTTCAGGGGGGCTGGGTGGACTGAGCTCCCTGGTCCCCAGGTGATGCTCACGGTGCTGGTCTGCGGACCGTCGCCATGGAGACGCAGAGGTCTGTGGCTTTGGCGCGGAGGCCAGGTTTGGTTGGGGGGTTTGCTGGTTGGTGGCTGTGATTTTTTTTTCCCCCCCTGGCACATTGTGTCATTGGTGCCTCCGTCGTCGTGTCCTTGGCGCCTCTGTGGGCAGTTGTGAGGGTTCAGCGAGCAGAGGAGGCCTGGGGGATCAGTGGAGACGCAAACAGACGCTAACTGCCAGGAGTGAGCTCTCCCAGACGCCCAGCCCCAACTCGGTTCGCAAGGTACTTCAGCCCGGCGGCTGCCTTGGGCTCCGGGCCCGCTGAGCTACCAGTAAGTGCAGCAAAAATAGCAGCAGAGAAAACGAAGGAAACGTTGAATCGTGACTGAACAGCCCTAAATCCCTGCCCACCACTCCCGGGGGTGTCCTCAGGCCCCCGGAGCCCCCAGCCACAGGACCGCCCTCCTACTGTGTGTGTGTGCTGTGGGCGCGAACAGGACACTTTTTCAGAACTTTTTTTTACCACAGTTTGTCAGTTAAAATATGGCATGTTGTTGGGTGGGTTTTTTTTTGTGTGTGTGTGTTGTATTTGTTTTTTTGTTAATTCTCACCTGAGAATATTATTTCTGTTGATTTTTAGATTGAGTGGAAGAGAGGCTGGGAGGGAGGGAGGGAGGGAAGGAGAGAAACATGGATGTGAAAGGGACATAGCTAATGATTGCCTCTCACACTCAGCCCCAAGGCGGGCAGGGATCGGGACTGAACATACAGCCCAGGCAGGTGCCCTTGGCTGGGGACCGAACCCGGGACCCTTCGGTGTGGGGGGCCGGCCCTAACCACTGAGCACGCGAGCCAGGGCAGGGGGGTGGTTTTTAAAGAATTGGAAATAGCCGCAGGATTTGGGTGGTGGCTTTGTCGGTCCTTGAAGGT